TTCTACTTCTAATTTATATTTTCTTTACTATTATAAATTAAATAAAGGCAAATGCATAAAGTTTAATAAGGCATTCTCATATATTCAAATGTTTCATTGTGTTATATATATATATTTTACACACCCAACAATTATATATGTTTAATCCTCAGATTTTCGGTTTGTTGGTATTATATTTCGTTTTTCTTAACAATGTTATTTGGTTTTTTAATTCTTAACTTCTGAGTAATTATCCACTTAGACTTCTTAGACACTTCTTGTGGCTAATGAGCAATGACGGTACGATTTTTATATAAGGCGCTTAACCTAGACCAGGTTCACGCTGCCTTAAGCTGGATATTATGAGTCTTAAACAGCTGACTGTGGAGTCCCGTCGAATACGTCGTAACACTGGCATGAGGGAAGCTAAGCCGTTAAGAACCACATTTAACAAATTTAACTGGAATATTTATGTCACAGAGCCTTTCATCTAGTCTTTCATTACACCATTACAAAAATATTCTTAAGTATATGTGATATGACGGACGCATAGTTGAAAGGAATCGGTTAATGATAATATACTTAATCGATTGACTGTACTCCGAAATATTTATGTATATGTATTTATCATATATACATAACTTTTTTCATTTACATCAATTTAAAATATTTGGTTACTAACATTGATCTCCAACTGTTAAATTACAAATTTCTGTACAAGATTTAAATTTAAAATTATTTTATCAAAATGCCTTATAGATAGCCTCATTATGATATACTCTGATAATATTATGAAAACATAAATATTCTGTGTGTAAATTATACTTTTTTTATAATCAATAAACAATTTTGTTTTCGTAGTTTGTATTCTTCAGATATGATCTTGAATGTAAATCAAAATTAGTTTACAGTACAGTGAACACACGCACATAATGGATATCAATATGTGCCCTTGCAGTCTAATGCGAAACACATGTGAAGACTTTTATTAAAATATGACTTATTTTATAGTGCTGAGATCAAAATTTTATAGCTTGGCACAAGCATGCCGTATAGCTGGATATACAAAATATTATTAAATGGCTAAGGGAAGTACACAGAAACTTAGACTTTGTATCCGAAAGCAGTATGAATATATTGCAATCGAATATTGAGCACTGTAAAATACTATTTTTATATATTTTCTCATTGTTCGAATTATAATGTACACAGATCCCAATTGGCGCTCGATGCGTTTTATTCAATTAGAAAATCTTTGGCCATGGCCTAAAAACTTCGCTTCCTTATAAACATTCGATTTCCATTTCTTTCGATTTGCTACGTTTCATAGGGCAAGCAATAAAATTTGCACGAATTTCGAATGTTCGACTTGCGAATACCGTGAAGTTGTATAAATTATATAAAATGAGAAAATATTTTAACATGAATAGAGTTGCTCTGTAAGGTTCTTAAATATGGGTTACAAAATTGTAGGCTATGTTGAGATATGATTTTCAGTTTACCAAATAAAGAACTATTTATCTTATCTTAGTGCTATCAAAAACTGTACGACTAAATTGAAAAGCTGCTTATTCAATGGGGTATTCTATTGAGATCATTTTATGAAACCTTTATAGGGTATGCAAAGAACATTTTTTTTTTTAATTGGTTTACTTTTATTTTGACTCCCACTCTCTAGACTCTCTATTCCAAACTTCAAGTCCACATTTCAAGTTTCACATTGCGCTTTGTCCTAAACCAATATACTCTTTACACTTCGTGTCGAGCATACGAAAACAATTGCCAGCAGCCAGCCCAAAGAACTTGACACGATTCTCGCTTAGCCCATCAAGTACATAATAACCACGAGAGCATAGAACGGAAAGACTTTTTGACATTGGGCGGATAAACAAGCAAGCATACTCTTAAAAATATATTATAGTTTGTATGTATGTATATAGCAGATATATAATATATATACTTATCTTATATACTCACATATATTATTTACGTTAAGTTTTAATCTCACGCGAAATTCTCTCAATAAGATTTCTACGTCGCCCCCACAAAAACAAAAACAAAATTTAGAACCTCAAGTTCTGCTAATACACAAAAGCTAAACTAAGAAACGCTCTATAATTCTATGAAATATATAGACAGTATATATAAATGAAAATGATTAATGAGCAATATTTAAATATAGACTCCTGAGTAGAGATCTCATATCAATTAATGCATTAATTGAACATTTTTCATTTTTTTCAAATAGATCATATTTATATCATATTTGTATAGGGTATTAAAATAGTCATTTTTGTCCATCTACTGGCTGCGCTTTCTAAGTAGCACTACGGCAGCGCACTCTTAAATGTTTATTGTTTATTTTGGGTGTGCCAATTTTTGTGTGTGTTTTCTTTAGGAAATTAATTACATCATGAATTTGTCAAAAGTGTTTTTCTTCTCCGGCTTCCACCAAGCCGAAAGAACAAACTGTTCTTCTATTTAGTATATTTTGCAAAATGTGGAGCATGTTTACAGCTGACGCGCGCTGGACTGGACGGGACGGCGCCGGGCAGTGGAAGCGAGAGCCAGATGTTAAATGCTCACTAGATTTTCAATGGCTAAGCATGAGGTCACAGCATTAATTCTGTAGTGATCATTATCATTAGCAAAGATCATAATCGCGATTTAGATAGTAAGAGGAAACACAAAACATCTATAAATGTATACAATATAATACTAAATTGTTTTGCATCTATTCAATGAAACTTGTAATTTTTCTATTATTATTTT